TTATGACAGGAAATCAAACAGGGCACAGCAGGGATGTTTATCTTTTGGCCTCACTTGAGAAGACTCAGACACTGAAGATGACTCAATCACTGAGGATAGGAACCATCTGGAAGGTCTTTCACACTGACGCTAGCAGAACTCAGCTGGGACTGTCAACAAGAGCACCTCACATGGCCTCTCTCTGAGGCTTGGGCTTCCTCACAGCATGATGGCCTTGGGATAGCCGAATTTTATACTCACTCCGAGTGAGTATAAAATGTGAGTGTTCCGGACAACAGTGTAGACACTACACTCCCTTTATGACCACCTTGGCACCACCTCTGTTTCATTGTTCACTGCCCAAATTAAGAAACAAACCTCATGGAAGAATTGCAGGCATTATCCAAAGCCTCCAAGGGAAGAGATTTGGGGATGAGGGGCACAGTTTTAGGGTTCCTCTATCCCTACCCTGATTTGGCTTGAAGAAGAACCTAGGTATGCCTGATGCAAAGCAAAAAGGAAACACGGGCATACCCATAGAAACTTCTGGAACATCTATCAAATTATGGAGGGCCTGTGGCCAGCTATCCCATGAGGGAGGGATGAGAAAGCAAAAAAGGATGCTCCTGTGAGGAGAAAAATGCCCTTTTTAGACCTGCAAACAATTTTCACCAGCCCGCATTGTGGTCTCTCAGCTCAGTGGCTGAATGAAGACGGCACATTGCCATAGTGCTTCACCGCTTTCAGAGAGCCTTCTCGTTCACTCTCCCATGTAGAATTCAGAGGTAGGAATTCCTGCAGCAGGTACAGAGGAAAGGCAGGTTTTAATGGCTCCATCTTTCAGATGTGAGAGGAGAGAGAGAGTCAAAGGTGTGGAGGAGGTTTTTCTGGCCGTCATACTGCCGCGATGTGGCAAAGCTAAGGCGTGCATGCGCTGCCTCACACTTTATTCCACGGGGGTTCGTCCAATTGTCTTCACTAATTATGCAATGGAAAATCTCACCATGCACACATCTCAACCGTACTCCTGGAAGTGTCTGAGCCAGCTAGCCAGTCAAAAAGGTCCATTTGCATATCGTTAGCCGACAACTATTGAGAGCTTACTATATTCTATGTCTGAGATGGCTGTACGCATGTTTCATGCACACTCTTTCAGCTACAACACTTGTTTGCTATGTGCGTATTGATTCATACAAGGTGGATAAAGAGGGGTTACAGGCCCTAAGACACAAAATGGTGGTAGCTATATAATTTTTCACAAGATGACTATTAATGATATCACCTAGAAACACCAAGTAAATTCAAAAACGCCAAACAGTTGCATGCAGTGACCATGGGGGAACCATAAACATAGCCCCCTCATCTGTTTCCCCACTTGACCTACATGATTTGCCCTACGAACGTCTATAGTTCCTCCCAAATTCATGTAGTTGTCTGGCCAAAAGTATTTCCTGCAACATCCCAAACACAAATAAGCATCCTGAGTAGAGGAATCCAAGTAGCATGTGAAAAGGGAAAGCCCTGGATCTTGAGGAACAGCTTAAAATGATAAAGCATAAAAAGAAACAAGAGGACTTGGGACATCACAAGAGCAAGAGGCTAAGGAAATGGGCCTTGTGCACCACAGGGACGATGCGGCAAACATCAGAGAAAGCTGTTCAGCAGGGGGAACCGTGGGGGCTGTGGAGTCTCTGGAACAAGCCTGAGAAGGCTGCCAGGAATGGTGCTGGGGCTGCCAGAGCAGAACTGACGATGAGGTCAGGTGGCTGCCCACCAGAGCTGAAAACGCCACAACTGTTGCCCACTGGAATTGGGCTGACAGGCACCTGCCGGGATTGACGGCAAGGTCAGGCAGAGCGGCCACCCATCACGGCTTCCCATCCCGCTTAACAGGCTTATGGGAAGCTGCGTAAAGGAAGGAGGACATGGCAAAACCACAAATACTGGATTTCTGTTTTAGGTTAATGCAGAAGGAAAATGGGACAAAGCACTTTGGTGTCACAACCTCATGTCCTGTTTCCTTCCTTCCCTCTCTTCCTCCGGAACTCAGACACCCCCACACTTCACGGTATGCTGCCACCAAGCAAACTTCATGCTTTCTGTAAGGGGAAGTGCTCTGTATACCCTAGTTTAAAAAAAAAAAAAATTATTAGGGATTTAAAATGTTTAAAACTTTTATTGGGTTTTTGGAAGGGTATTCCTTACTAGACTATACAGGTGTTGAATGTTCTACCCAATTCTATTTTTCCCATAAGCCCTGTCATTTTTACTGCATGAAATTCTATAATGCCTCGATTTTTAGGAAGACATATATTACACTGTAGCCGAAATAACCATATTATCTCATTTAATCCTCCCCTTATCCCTACTTTACAAGAGAAAACAGCGAACACTGAGTGTGGTTTCCATTTGACATTAAAATCCCACATCTTGAGCATCTTCTCCCAATCTGTATTCCTTTTCTTTTTTCTAATATAAATGTTTGCCAAGTACCTCCACCTTTCAAAAGCCTTTCCTAGGATGTCATACTAAGAAAAATCACAAATAGGGGAGTAGCTCCCAGCCCCACTGAAAGGAGGGAATTTGCTCGGCATCCAAGTGGAAACTGGTTTCTAGAATGCAGGTCAAGAGTTCACCCAAAAAAAAAATTCTCAAAAGAAGTTCTTAAGGCCAAAAGAAAGAAAGAGAAGGACTTCCAAGAAATGGATCCTAAGGAAAAGAAAATCCAACTGGAAATCTGAAATAACAGGCAATTTTCCCAAAGTGACTGATAACTATTGCATTACTTTCCCCAAGGTCAGCAGCAGAATAAGAATTAGAAAGACCAACTTGGGACCTTCCCTACTCCTTTTAAATATTGTGTTTCTGTTGCTTGGAACGTTCATATTTCTGCATCAGACTGTTCTCCTTGCTATATTTCACACCCCCTCTGGCTTCACATCACAAGAACAAGGTCAGTGTTTGTTTATAATGGAATAGGGGTGCAATGGTGAATAATACAGATGTATATTTTACTTGGAACAAATGCAGTTCACCTTTCTTCTCTGAGTAAATTCAAAGCTTGAGAGAGACTGCGGTGCATAAACCTTCAAAAGGAGGCCCTCCTTAGGTATTCCAAACATTTTATCACAGCACAAGATCCTCTTGTTTCAAGCAAAAAGCACCAACAAAGAAAAAGACAGTGTCTGTAAGACACTTGTTGGAGTTTTGGTTTGTTTGGGATGGTGGTTATTTCTTTTGGGACAAATTGTAAATGTTAACTGAAAAACCAAATTATGTTGATGGAATTGGGAATGAGAGGTTTAAATGAATGACTTCAAATAGGTACATCTGTAATATCCTAGGAGAGTACATTTTCTTAGGCCCGTTGCTTTGGGTTTTTTAAGAAGGATTTGGAATAAATGTTTCTACATTAAAGCAGAATGCTAAGGTCAAGATGAATAGAATCAATTCTATTGAGCTTTTGAAACAGAGAGACAGGACAGGATCAGTCTTGCAGCATATAATAGATTCGCTTCCGTTTGGAAATAGGGACTAAAGATACAGAACATAAAACTTTCCATTGGATTCCTACTTTATTTCTTTTGTGGCCACATGTGTCTGTCTAAACTTGACCACAGAATCAGAACATTAAGAAGACTTTGAGGGTTCATCGAATCCACACCCAAGCTTATGGGAAGACCTCCCACTAAACCTCTAGACACATGGGGACTTACCCTGTTTTTAAAGACCTCCATGAAGTCTTTACAAAAAGTGTTCAAACACCCGTTCTCCTGCCAGCAGTCTCCTTGGCTTGTTGAATTTGCATTGGCCCCACCTCCATTAATCAATCCCACCCCAGCAAATAGGCCCAGCCCCCTTGCTTCTAAACATTCCGACATCTGCCAGCGCTTATGTGCACCGCGTCACCCAGCTCTGGTCCCCGAGCCAGCAGTCTTGTTCTAATCTCCGTGGGGGCTAAGGCACAGGTGGGGTCTCAGGCAGCCAGGGCCTCCCACCCTCCCCCACATGGCCACTGGCAGCCCTCAGCTTCTGAGAGGCCAGCGTGAGGGGAGGCAAATTCCTAAACACTCCAGAGCCTTTGAGTGTTTTATTCTTCACGAGGAAAAAAACATTCATAGATCTTCTATTAGGGAAGCTGCATGTGACATATGACATGAAATATTCGCCCCTCCCCCCCTTTTCAACAGTGGATTGATAATTATTTAGCTTCCCCAAATCAAACTCCCAATCAAGCCTCAAGCTCTGCAACTTCGACCAGAATTCCCACTCTGCTGGCTGGAAGCAGCAGGGAAGTAAACTTTTCTTCCTCATTAATATGAAAGAACTGGAAGTGCTAGGAATAGCCCCAGGACTAAAAAAAATAGGTACTAATAGTGATGCTTCCCAGGAAATGTCTGTGGCCAGAAACGTGAATGAGGAACACTCAACAAGCTTGAGGGGAATGTCTGGTTTCCTTGCTGCTCCTATCATTTGGCCTCAGAGCGCCTCCTGAAACGCCTTTCCTCCATTTCCCCGCTCAGTGCGTTCAGTTCACCCCTCTGTTGGGCCTGAGAGAAACACCTGGGGGTTATCAGCAGCATCCACGAAAGCGCCAGGATCATGGAAGGAGAATGGGGCCATGGCCACATCCTGCCAGCCCTCGGCAGACAGACCGCCCTGGAGACGGGTGAAGGGCCGTCCCCCCACTGCCAGAGGCTGATCCTGTTTGATCATCTGCCTCAATTTCAGCGAGAGAGGAGAGGAGGCCTGGGGTTACTGATGCGACCATCCATTCCAGTCTACAATGACATGCCCCTGAGAGAAACCCAAAACCCAGCTGGAAATGCAGAGGCTTTCAGGGTCAATCTCTTCTCAGGCGGCACAGATTTTCAGAAACCCAGGCCCCTCACACCAGGGCCATACCCCAGGGAGTTAGAGACACCAGCTGCACCTCTGCAGACAAGGCCACTCGCTTCCCTTTACCTTCCTGCTTGTTGTACGCGCTCTGAAGGCCTCAAGCTCAATCAGATTTTGATATTTAGTGTAAGAACTATGAAAAGCTCCTCCTGCCTTCATTTATCAAAATCACCTTTCCACCTCCCTTGTTTCCACACTGAGAAATCACATCCAAGTTCCTACGACCCCTTATAGCTCAGATGACCTTAAACTGACCTGTGAATTTGGATCACGTTAAATCAATGTTTCCAAAGCTTGGGTCATCCTTTTTTTCCACAAGGTGATTTTGCCAGACTAAATGAGGATATTTTTACATGGCAAACAGATTGCTTACACAAACTCGGTTCATGTGACTTTTAAAGAAAGCATATAAATTACACCACCATAAACCTTTCTTTTTTCAGGTTTGTAACTGGAGTGTCATAAATATCAGACTTGATCATCTTTGGTTCATAATCCAGATGTCACTGTCTTACAGCGCAAGACAAAGGATTCTTAGAAAGGGTAGCAGCGCCTCCTGCTGGTTTTCTTTGCAGGCTGAGTTTTTACAAAGGTAGAAGTCTGGGTATGAAGTCCTTTGATGCTAAATCCCTTGTAGTTAAGAGAGGAAATGAGGTTTTGAATGCGATGTTCTTCATTTCCTCAGCAACGCACACTGCAGCAAAGACAGGTTCACATTTCTTCCATTATTATTTCTAGCATTTAATACGGCCAGCCACATTAGACCTGATGACATCTCAGTGGCAATGTTCCCTATTACTAATGGTGTATGACAAAACTATGAGGGGGTTCAACCTGTCCCACTCTATGTAATACTCCCACTCCAGGCAACTGACCAGCACCCCTGGCGATCTTTGAGGTGGTCCCTCAGGAATGACAGTAGGACAAGGACAGCCCAGTTAAGATGACAGAACCTGGTTCCATGCCATTCAGCTTGCTACTCTGGAGACCAACTATGAGCTTCCGCAGCAGTAAGAGAGCCCTGATCATCAGACACATTGCAGATGATCAATCCTGATCTGAAAGCAGCTTCCAAGCCCAAACACCCCAACCACTTACTGCCAAAGGAATCCCTATGGATTTAGAAAACCAAGAGACCCTTTTGGATGGCTGGATATAGCAAGGTATCAATGCAGTCATTCATTATTCAACAAAAATATTGTACTCAACAAATATTTAGTGAGCACTTACATTGTCCTGGCAAAGCTGTAGGCATCAGAGATACCATGGTAAACAAAAAAACAAAATCTGCCCTTCATGGAGCTCGCTGTGTGGGAAAGAAAATAGGCAACATACAAAGAATCCCCAAAATGAACGTATTACAAACTGTGACAAAGGACATGAAGGAAAGGCACACAGCACCATGGGGGCATATATCATCTAGGGGGGTAGAGAGAGTTTCCCTGTGTAAGTGACACTAAAACTGAGACCAAGAGGACAAATGAATGTTCCTGAGCATTGGGGCAGAAGGGAAGGGAGGAGCATTTCAGGCAGAGCAATGAGCCTTTCTTCCTGGGGGGCAACACTCTATCTATCACACTACTGTGCTGTCCAGTGTGTTTGTCCTCCTACTGGGAATGTCCTCCCATCTCCTCCTCCTCCTTTAAGCTTCAGCTCAGGTAACATCTCCTCTGCCAGGTCCTCCTCTCTCCCCCACAGCATCTTTCTTTTCTTTGTGCTGCCTCTAGACCTCGTGCATCAGGCGCTGGTGCCAGGGTGGGGATTAGGATGGTGGGAATGGGGCAAAGGTAAGGGGGTGTCAAAACTTCAGGAAGCAAGATCAATGAGACTTTTATTGTGGGAAAATGTACATAACATAAAATTTGCTATTTTGACCATTTTTAAGTGTACAATTCCATGGCATTAAGTGCATTCACAATGTTGTGCAATCATCACCTCTATTCATTTCCAGAATTTTTTATCTTCGCAAACAGAATCTCTGTACTCACTAAACAATAACTCCCCATTTCTCCTCCTTCCAGCCCTGGTAACCACTATTTTACTTTCTGTCTCTAGGAATTTACCTCATCTAGATACCTGCCACCAATGGAATTATACAATATTTGTCTTTTTGTGACTGGCTTACTTCACCTAGCATAATGAAGTTAAATAATATTTTAATGCCATGTCTTTAATAATCAAAATACATACAAAAAATTCATGATGAACAAAATATCACAATTTTAGACAAAGATAGGATCAGTATCACTGACTTTTCCTTTTGCCTCTGGTTCCGAGGCAGCTTAGCACTGATCCAGTCTGATCATCATGGATTTTTTTTGGCATTAATTTTTATTTTCAAAAATATTGCATTAAGTGAGACAGGAATCCATCAAAATCCTTGAGGAGAACACAGGCAGAAACCTCTTCGACCTCAGCCACAGCAACTTCTTCCTAGAATCATCACCAGAGGCAAGGGAAGCAAGGGCAAAAATGAACTATTGGGACTTCATCAAAATAAAAAGCTTTTGCACAGCAAAGGAAACTGTCAAAAAAACCAACAGACAACCAACAGAATGGGAGAAGATATTTGCAAATGACATATCAGATAAAGGGCTAGTATCTAAAATCTGTAAAGAACTCATCAAACTCAACACCCAAAGAACAAATAATCCAAACAAGAAATGAGCAGAAGACATGAACAGACATTTCTCCAAAGAAGACATACAAATGGTCAACAGAAACATGAAAAAGTGCTCCACATCACTCGGCATCAGGGAAATCCAATCAACATCTCAATGAGATACCACCTCACACCAGTCAGAATAGCTAAAATGAACAAGTCAGGAAACGACAGATGTTGGCGGGGATGCAGAGAAAGGGGAACCCTCTTACACTGTTAGTGGGAATGCAAGCTGGTGCAGCCACTCTGGAAGACAGTATGGAAGTTCCTCAAAAGGTTGAAAATAGAGCTACCCTACAACCCAACAATTGCACTACTGGGTATTTACCCCAAAGATACAAATGTAGTGATCCGAAGGAGCATGTGCACCCCAATGTTTATAACAGCAATGTCTACAATAAAACTATGGAAAGAGCCCAGAAGTCCATCGACAGATGAATGGACAAAGAAGATGCAGTGTATATATACACAATGGAATATTATGCAGCCATCAAAAAATGGTATCTTGCCATTTGCAATGACATGGATGGAACTTGAGGGTATTATGCTAAGCAAAATAAGTCAATCAGAGAAAGACAATTATCATATGATCTCACTGATATGAGGAATTTGAGAAACAAGACAGAGGATCATAGGGGAAGGGAGGGAAAAATGAAACAAGATATAAACAGAGAGGGAGACAAACCATAAAAGACTTAATCTCAGGAAACAAACTGAGGGTTGCTGGACTGGACGGGGGTGGGAGGGATGGGGTGGCTGGGTGATGGACAAAGGCGGGGGGTATGTGCTATGGTGAGTGCTGTGAATTGTATAAGACTGATGAATCACAGATCTGTACCCCTGAAACAAATAACACATTATGTGTTAATAAAAAAATAATAAAAACTTTTAAAAAAATATTACATTAAAATATTATTTAGCTTGATAACTGACTTTTTTTTGGTGCAGTCAAGGCAAGGTAAGTTCCTCCCAGGTCTTACCGTAGGCCCAGCTCTGGTGGTACCAAACCCTATCTTTCTACCACCCCAAACAGTGTACAACCTGAGAAAGATCTAACATGCTTGTATGCAAACACAGGCTTCAAGACAAGTCTTCCCTTAGCCACACCACCTCACAATGAGATTGCTGTCCTTCAGCCCCTCTTATACTCTTGAGCTACAACTGTGCACACAGCTCTAGTTTGCACATCTAGCTGCACTGTGATTACTGTCTTCTATCTGCCTTTCTGGTCTGTGAGCTCTTTGAAGTGAGAGGATGAATCTCTTTCATCGTGGTAGGCACTCGGCCTTGTACAGTGTTGGGTTCATAGCAGACATTTAATAATTTTTTGTTGAATGAAAGGCCCCTTGGCTCTCTTTCCCACAATGAATAAGTATTTCAAAATAGCAAAGTGAGATTTTGCCTTTATCTGGTTTAGTTCCAACAAACCACATAGGATTACTACATACTGTATATGTAAAATATATATTATAGTATATAATTATGATATTAGTTCCATAATCCATATAGGTCCATGTTAAATGGCAGGTGACCTAGAAAGCCCTAACTGTGGCATGATTCAGAAAAGAATATTTTGGGGTTCCCTGATCTCCTACTTGTTCACAGTCCTCCAGGCCAAGGACAGCCCACTCTTGCCTCCTCCAGCTGCCTTTGCCCACTCACCATCTCCTTGGACTGCTGTGTCACAGACGAGGGACATGCCTGTGCATTGTTGGAACAGAAACCGCTTCTGGTTTCCCAAAGCACTGATTCCACCTCTGTTTCTGCTTGACCAAAATCCTGTCCACATGCTGGCCTGGCACTCTTTGCTGTCCCACTCCTGGCTGACAGACCCGACTGCACCTCCAGTAGGAATGCCTGCACCCCTGTTTGGTTTCCTATCTTACCTCCTGTCTTGTGGCCAAGCCCTGACATTGGCTTGAAGTCTCTAACCACAGCCTATGGCCAGCATCCCTGTGTTCCAAGTCTTGGCATTGTGATTTATAGACTTCTCACATTTGAATTTAGTTTGGACCCCATCATCTCAATTGAGATTTCACTTCTTATTTGATGCCAGTAGAAAATGAGGTTTCCAAATTCTTAAGTGCCTAGAATTGCTCATCTGGCTCTACATCTAGGTCTTTAAAGCAAAACTAAACAGCACACCATCCAAAATCTCAGCTTCTGAATTTATCACCCACCCCAGAGTCAAACATTCCCAACCCAACGAAGTTTGTTTCGCCAGTAACTAGAGTTTTGCTTGGATTGATTTTGCTATAGCTGTTGGATAACTTTATAACTAGAAATTTTCTTCCTCTTTCAAGATGACCACTATTTCTGAAGTTCCTCCTTCCCTTCTGTCTCCATAAATAGTCTTCAGTCAGTGTGCAGACCAACTGACCAAAGAGGTGTGAGAAGCAGTGCCCAGGTATGATGAGATAGCAACAATTGTCTCAGAGCTATTGCATCAACTTTCACAAGACTTGAGAATCAAGTCTGAACTGAAACCAAACCAAATTAATCTTTCCAATTTGATGAACGCCAAAATTATTTTGCAAATACAGACCCAAACTGAAAGAAGAAAATGAAGAGTTCAAGGAAGATGTATCATCCAAATTCATCTCGAGACTCTGGGGGAACAGCCCAACTCACAAATTTTAGTCATGAAATAAATGCCCAAAAGCATTCACAAAAGTATACAGGTAAAAATACTATCATTGCTTCATGGCATAATTCAGGCATTTGAAGGTAAGTGTGTTTCATGGCATTGATCCAAATATCTTTCTTTATATAGAGTCTGATTATAAACAATGAAATTCATTTTCATTTGTACCCTATAGAGTTAGTTAGATTTCTTTAGATTACCCATCTTGGATAACTTGGATAAATATGCAATAATAAAATTATTAGCATGTTATTATTTTGACATACATATACTGTATTAGTTTGCTAGGGCCGGTATAACAAAGTGCCACAGACAGGTGGTTTGAACAACAGAAATTTATTGTCTTGCAGTTCATGAGGCTGTAAGACCAAATTCAAGGTATCAGTAA